ATTGTCTTTATCCATTGGTTATGCTTATATGCATACAACTTCTTTGGTTGATCTCTTCCCCCCAAATTCTCCCCCCACCCGCCACCCTCCCCTACTTTCCCTCTGAGGTTTGAGGGTCTGTTCGATGCTTCTATGTCTGGATCTATTTTTGTTTGTCAGTTTATGTTGTTCATTATATTCCACAAATGAGTGAGATCATGTGACACTTATCCTTCTCTTCCTAATTATTTTAATGCCTATTTATGTAGTGCTTATTTACCAATTGGGAGCAGTACTCAAGATTTATGGTGATTTTAGGATACACTGTTGGCTGTTGTTGAGTTCTTTTATAATAAAGGTAGTGTCAGCCCTAACCGGTTTGGCCCAGAATATAGAGCATCGGCCTGCGGACTGAAGGGTCCCAGGTTCGATTCCGGTCAAGGACATGTACCTTGGTTGCGGGCACATCCCCAGTAGGCGGTGTGCAGGAGGCAGCTGATTGATGTTTCTCTCTCATCGATGTTTCTAACTCGCTATCTCTCTTCCTTCCTCTCTGTAGAAATCAATAAAATATTTTTTTAAAAAGGTAGTATCACATGGCCTGGTTGTGTTCTTTAGACGTGGTGGTAAAGCTCTTGGGAATCTTTAGGGTGCTGTGTGACATGCCTATTTGTATCCCCTGGACAGGTGTATGATGGATACTGATGATGAGGTCCGAGACAGAGCTACTTTCTATCTGAATGTGCTGCAGCAGAAGCAGATGGCATTGAATGCTACATATATCTTCAATGGTCAGTGAGAGCCACGGATGTAGACAAATATACTTTTGGTATCTTGGAAGCATGTCTTAAGATGATTTGCATATGAGCTGACTTTACTAGGCAAAATGCTTCTTTTATGTTTTTGACTGCACTTCCATTTCTAGGGAAATCTAAAGTATGTAAAAGCCCAAAGAATATTGCTTGCTCCTGATCCTTTTTGAGCTCATTCTTGAATGGGTTTACCTTTTCTCCCTTTTCTTACGCTACTAGAGGCTTGGTGCATGAAATTTGTGCACTGGGGTTGGGAGGTGTCCCTCAGCCCAGCCTGCATCCTCTTGCAGTCTGGGAGCCCTCAGGGGATGTCCAACTACTGGCTTAGGCCATTCCCTGGGGTTGGGCCTAAGCTGGCAGTCGGACATCCCTCTTGCAGTCTGGGAGCCCTCGCTCCTTACTGCCTGCTCACTGCTCCTTAGTGCTGTCATGGAGGCGGAAGAGGCTCCTGCCACTGCGCTCACCAGCCATGCGCCCGACTTCTGGTTTAGCGGCACTCTCTCTGTGTGAGTGCACTGACCACCAGGGGGCAGCTCCTGCATTAAGCGTCTGCCCCCTGATGGTCAGTCCACATCATAGTGACCCGTAGTTCTGGTCATTCTGCCATAATGGTCACTAGGCTTTTATTATATAGATCATTGTTCCCACATGGCTAAGTTGCTCTCTTTTATGGAAGGTACTTGTATTTTGTTGAAAATGTTTATGCTCTGCTCCCATGCTTCCTTGAATGAAATTATAAGAAAGTTTTATATAATAGCCTTTACTTTTAATTTCTTATGTTATAAAGTCTGTGGTTATATTTTCCCCTCCTTCAGAAAGAGTAGATTACACAGTATAAATCTGGGCCTATCTGGATCCTAGTATTGGCAAGAAGTTATAATGCTGAGATTTCTCTGTTTCATAGGTCTGACAGTGTCTATACCAGGGATGGAAAAAGCTTTACATCAGTATACATTAGAGCCTTCAGAAAAGCCCTTCGACATGAAATCTATTCCTCTTGCTATGGCTCCTGCCTTTGAACAGAAAGCAGGTAATGGGACCACTTCACTCTTTAGTGTTTCTATGTTTAAGTAGTGTTATTAGCATATTTTCTCTAATACATCCTTAGTTTGCTTAATTGTCACTCTGTATTTCTAAATCTTTTTAGAAGTATGGTGGATGATGTTTTTAATTAGGTTTTAAATTATTTTCCTGGTTTTCACATAAAAGCTCAAATATGAAGTGTGACCAGATTGAAAGTTTTTCTTTTTCCATGTTTAGTATTGCAGAATCTGAAGTTAGCTGTCACTGTGTGTCTCAGAGCTGCAATTGTGCTGTCACCTCCTGTTTTTATTTTCTGAAGTTGGTAATTTCTTAATTTTACTATTGGAGGTTTGTCTTGAAAGAATGTATGGGACAAGATCATAAAAAAATGTTCCCAAGGGATAGCTAACTATACAATTAAGGAAGGAAGGAAGGAAGGAAGGAAGGAAGGAAGGAAGGAAGGAAAAGAAGGAAAAAAAGAAGAAAGAAGGATGAAATTAAAGGAAAGAAGGAAGGAAGGAAGGAAGGAAGGAAGGAAGGAAGGAAGGAAGGAAGGAAGGAAGGAAGGAAGGAAGATGTTTAATGGTCAGACTGAGAAAGAATGATCTTAACTTTGAACCTTTTCAGTTTTTCTGTTGATACCATACAAGTAATTTTTCCTATTTGAATCATGAGAAGACTTGTTTTATAAATAGTTCCTTCTTTTGAGAATATTTTTTGTACATTCTCGCCCATTTAAAGCAAATACTATATTTTAGGGCTTACTTTATTATATCACAAAATATGTTCACTAAGTAAATTTTAATTTGAACATCTCTCTAAAAAAAGGTGACAGAAGCCTACTGGTGTTTTTAGCAGTGGCTTATTTTATGTGTGTTAGAAGCTTCTGTCCTGATGTCTTTCTGTCTGCATTTTCAGCTTGATAATGGGAGGAAAGCTCACTTGATTGCTCATATCTGTCTTTTTAGAAATCACACTTGTGGCTACTAAGTCAGAGAAGTTGGCTCCTTCCAGGCAAGACATTTTCCAAGGTATGGTAAATTGATGGGTAGAAGTAATAGTCTGCACCGTAGGCATTATAAATATAATGAAGTGCACTACTTTCATTCAGTTTGATGAATTCCCAGTGCAGGAAATCTTTGTGTGGCTGAATATTTGTTGTTATAGGTTATAGTTGCTGTATAGGTTATAGTTGCTGGGGCTACCTGAAGTCCATGGAACATTACAATTGCCGAAGCTAATGTGCTAACTGGGAATGTTGTTCTTCATATCCTAGGTAACAAGGAACTCAAATTCTAAGAAATTAGGAATATAAGGTTTTTTTGCTTTTAGTAATTGAGTATATAAACTCTTAAAATATTAATTTATTAAAGCTTGGGGGTATATCAGAGTTTAATTATTAGCTAGGTGATGGAAACTTAAAACATCATGAGCATCTAGAATAATGTCCTCCTAGATTATTCTCATTTTGGGTCATCTTCTCATTTTGTTTTCTTCCTTATTTTTTTTTCTTGATAGAACAATTGGCTGCTATTCCTGAGTTCATGAATCTGGGACCCTTGTTCAAGTCTTCTGAGCCTGTTCAGCTTACAGAAGCAGAGACTGAATACTTTGTTCGTTGTGTCAAGCACATGTTTACCAATCACATTGTGTTCCAGGTGAGATAAGTTCCCTACCCAGCCCCTATGGGAGCTTACTAGGCTTGGAGACCAGTATTAACTCCCCTGTAATTTGTGATTCTAGTAGTTCTTTTTATAGAGAAGGAAAGGAACTTAGCAGCATTTCTGGTTTTCCTTCCCATGGCTACAGAGATGCCTTCATATGATGGGTTAAAAACTAAAAGGACTTAAAAATAAAATATCTGGAAAAGTTTCACAACATAAAGTATAAGCTGCTAAAAAATAATCATCATTTAACATAAGGATAAAAGCTTAGCTTCTAAGAATCAATTGAAATCCATTAAACATCTGCTATCTTGTTTGGTAGAACTAAGTCGCAGGAAAGAGAAAAAAACGAGGTAATAATATAAACCCCAAAGCCTCAAGGATAAGGCTATCCCTGTTACCTAAAGAAGAACCTTAGGAGGAGACCTACAGTACTGTTTGGGGAGGAAAGGTATAGTGAATTCCAGAACTGAGTTATGGGCTATGGGTGGGAAGGAACAACTTGCTTGCAAACCGTTCTTATCCTTCATAATGTTTTTCTGTTTGCTGACTTTTCAGTTTGATTGTACCAACACTCTCAATGACCAGCTACTGGAGAAAGTGACAGTGCAGGTGGAACCATCAGATTCCTATGAAGTGCTGTGTTGTATCCCAGTCCCCAGCCTCACTTATAATCAACCAGGAATATGTTACACTCTTGTCCGTTTGCCTGATGATGACTCTTCAGCAGGTACTAACCCGCAGAGGGGAAGAGACACTTACATGATTAAGAATGCATTACCACTTGAGCTCTTAAATGTCTGGACACATGTTTGGGGGTCAAGAATATGGTTCTTTTCTAGAATTAAATGTAATGATAGTGATGATGTATTTATAGTTATATAATTAGTGCTGCAGAAATATTATTTATAACTAAATCTCTAAGTAGAATTTCCTGGACATTTAATCTTAAAAAAGAAACTGAATGTGTAAAGGGGTAGCCCCAGAAGGAGTTCAGGCTTTCTGGTAGAACAGTGTAACCACTGATGAGGGTTCATCTGTCTGATGTCTCCTGTAAGGAGCACGACCCACTTCTCCCTGGTGTTTCTTTCCAGGACATCGTAAGGGCTTTTTATTAGTAGATCCGTGGCATTTTAAAATATATTGTCTTTGAGGGTCTGCCAGCGGTTGCCAACCTTTCGGACCACCGATTGGCAACCGCTGCTATACCATAGTGCCGGCATCTGAGAGTATGTCTCAGCCCAGTAAATGCCTTATCAACATTTGTGTATCCACATGGGAGAAAGGCTTTGTAATTCTTTCCTTGATTCATGTGGAGTCTGGGTAGGAGTGGGGAGGGTAGCTTCTAGTGCCTATAATAGTATTTACAGGTTCAGGGACTTGAGGTCTTCTGACCTACCTCTTGTGAATGTCTAGTGTGTGTTGTACTTGATATATTTTCCCATCGGAGTGCTTCTTCTCTTTCCATATTCACTAAGGAGTATTCACAATGGTTACCTGGTTTTCACAGAAATAAGCACACACATTGCATTTATGTTTTGAAAAACTTTTATTAGTAGTACTGGAAAAAACATTTATTACTTCTAGTACAGGAAAATACAATTTCGACTACTAGTACAGGAAAAACAATTTTTACTACTGATACAGGGAAAAAATTTTACTACTAGTACAGGAATAAAACAGATAATAGTTAACAAATATTGAGGAAGGTACAGAGTTACAAGAAATCGTAAAAGTACTAGTGAATTGTTATCTCTGGTCATCATTCAGTTACATTAGGGGCTTAACCTGCCTCCTTTTAGCCCCTTTCCAAGCTCCCTTTTTAGATGTTGTTTCTGGGAACCCCTGCCCAATCATATCTGTGTTGGATGATAGACCAGGCTACTCACTCTAGCACGAGGTAGATTCAAATTGGCACTGTTGCGGGGTCTGAATCCCAGGTTGTTCCCTCTGACCCCTGGGTGCAGCCACCCTGGATCCATAACCCGCTGGGTTAGGAAGGCACTTTCCTATCTGGCCTCTAGGATTTCTCCTTCAAGCTTGAGGCTGTCCAACTTTAACCCTTCATTACCTCCCTTATCCCTTAATGAGGTTTCTCTTGTTCCATTCCCTTTTAGCTTCACTTTCTCTCCTGGTCTATTCTCCTCTAGTTAGACTTTTCTAAAGTATGTCCACCAGCCAGAAACGTAGCTGACTGTATCTTATGTAAAGGTAGTTTTATTTACTCTTGTTCCAAACCAGTATCTGGGCCCAGTCTTAAAGTAACCCCGTGGCTTCCGCCACCATCCTGGGATAATCTGCACTTTTATCAGTTTTCTCAAGTGGCCTCCTCTACTTGTTTTATAATTCTTCCTCCTGTAGTGCTTCTCACCAAGTTTCTGCTTTTTTAAGAAAAGCCATTACTTCGCCACTTAATTTTAAAGGGAAGCAAAATGCTTGAACCCATTGAATAATCAAGCTTTTCCCAAGTGAGAACACTAGCTCTTCCCTTTCCAGGTTCACTTGGATAACTGATAACTTAGGTGCCTCACAGACCCCAGTGAATGTATTAACAGAAGACAGTAAATACAGTTTTACAATATCAAAATACATAAGACAACAGTATTGAAATTACAGCAATCACATATAGTTCAGGAGGAAATAACAACAACAACACCAACAACAACAACAACAATAGAAACTTTTATACTAAGAGAGTAGGTACAGGGGAGGTTTTCTGACCCCTCTGTAGTGAGGGGTTAATTTCTTTTTAAAAAAGTATATCTTACAAATTAGCCCAGAGGTTTCAACCTTTGATCTGCTGGCTTCAGGCTCTTTTGCTTAATGCTTTGTTCATATTTTATTAATAAAAATTTGGCATTTGGAGAAATTTTTTTTCCTATTAAATTCAAAGGGTTTGCTGATTTGGTGCTAAAAGTCAGTTATAAACATTTGTCATCCCATCTTGGAGAAAAGTCTCAGCATTTGGACTTTTCAAACTGCTTTATATTTGACCCATCATCTACCTGCTTAAAAGCAAATTCCTTTCTATTCCTTTGTTTTTGTCAGAAATTCTAAAATTTTTAATCTATGGCCAATCCAAAGTCTTTGCTGTACAATGAATAGAAGTAAAATACCAGGACATAGATGGTAATAAAAGTCTTTTACCCATTCCTTCTTTTTCCCATTGCAAATATTCCAAATTTTACCCATCACCTGAATATCTACACATCACCTCTACTTTGTCTCATCTCAGAAAATATATTTTCCTTATAATCACAAGGGGAAAACATAAATTATATAGATCATGATTTCCTTCAACTTGAAAATTATATAGCATAGTAGAAAGGAATATAGGTTTTAGAGCTACACAAATTGGGATTTGAATTCTGACTCTGATCCATATAGACTGTGTAACCATGGACAAGCTATTTGATCTCTGTAAGCCTTTCAGGATTGTTGAAAGGATGAAATATCAATAAATAAGGTCATTACCATAGTGCCAGGCATGTAGTAAATACTCAATAAACAGAAGCTATTTTTGTTTCAATTCTGGAACTATCTACTTTCTTCCTTTATCCTCTTTAAAAAGTAAGTCTTCCACAGTTGAAGAGACACACACCCTCTAACCTCCTTCAAAAAATTATTCAATTATTCTTGTCTTTGCTGTATCTTTAAACTTTCCCATTCTCCCTTACTTTATAACTGTACAAAAAATCTACACCGTCTGAAAAATGTGCTTTAACCCAACATCAAGATAACACGATAACTCCTTCCCTCAATTTATGGGCAATTTGTGAAAAGATTAAGTCTCAATTCAATTAGTCCTACTTTTATATTCTAGCCTCTAACAATTACTGTTTTAATCAAAAATTTTAAGAAAAGCCTTTTAGGCAGCATTCTTTCTTAGCAACCTTTCTCATTCAGAAACTTTCTTTCTTCTGAATAGCTATTGCATCAGTAACAGCAAATTTAAATAACTCATTTAAAAAGTCTTCAATAGAAAATATACATACTAACAACAAACTTCATAGTATATCAATATGAGTTGCTTTTCTCTGTTTTTCATTAGGGATGGTGCCTCCCAATTAAAAATTCATAACTCTTTCATATATACTTCAGTTCTCAACTTGCTGCCTACACTTCTTTAAACCTCTACCTTAATTTGAGCTACCATAGGAATGTGACGGACGCTGAATTCTTTTCTGAATCTGTAGTCTCTTCATTATTTGTTGTTCAGGTTTAACCATATTAACTCCTGACACTCGGTATTAAATCTACAACTTCAATTAAGTAATTGAACTCAGAATATTTTTTTTCCTATGACTCATATCCATCTTCTCACTGGGATCCATATTAATGAACCTTGATAAAATTTACATTCTTTATAGCTAAAGCACATAATTTGAATTTTTACTTAGATGATAAAAAGGATAGAACGTTACATTTATCACCACTTCCACTGCCTTTATAACAAGAATTTGTATCAGTCTAGCCTTATATAAGTATTCCTCCAATGTGACCCATTATGAGACTAAACAAGATTCCTAGATTTAAACCTCATTATTCACCTTTCCATTCATCTTGTAACCAATCATCCTTTCATCAAACACAATGGAATTTCTAAAATTCCCTCTATACATTCAACCTGTCACCATCTGGCCTTATTATTGACCCTGAACCTGTTACCTCCTAGCTTCAGACAATGTCACTCATACTTCAACTGAACAGGTGGGTATTGCATCCCTCCTCTTTCTCACACAGCACTCATATCTCTACAAGATGCAAATTCTTCAGTGTAGTCTGCCAACACAGGCGGGCATTCTTCTGCCATTACAGCCCATCAAGTACTCCCTTCTCACATCAGCCCATACATCAGGAGTCCATAGCTACGGGAACGAACATTGGTGCTCTGTTCCCTACTCACTCAAGGTGAATCCCAGGGTGCCACCCTCTAT